TCTCAGAATTCTGACTTTAATCTCAGAATTCTGACTTTAATTTTAGAATTCTGAGAAAAAAGTCAGAATTACGAAATTAAAGTCAGAATTCTGAGATTAAAGTCAGAATTCTGAGGAAAAAGTCAGAATTCTGAGATTAAAGTCAGAATCATTACTTTTTTCTCATAATATACTGAAATAAAATTAAAAAACATTTTAGTGGCCCTAATCCTCTTCCGTAGATGGTGGCAACAGTAATACTCTCAAATGGAATATTCAAAACCTTTTTTTTGTGGTTAATTATACACATCAATATACTAACATGAAAATATAATAAGTATAGAATTTATTCTCTTTTCAGATGAAACATTTTTATGTAATGCCTTATATGCTTCTATATCTTCTATGTCTAGCTTTACTCAATCAGTTTACTATATGTATGTTTATACAGTTATTTTTTATTTATTACTTTTTTTGTTCAAACCCCTGGCGATTGTTCATTGGAAATTGTACTTATAGCTTCTTGTAGTACAAAAATTCTCTAATAGAGCTTTAAAAAAAAAAATCATTAGTTATATTTCAATCATTTTTGTAATTTTGTTTGCTTGATAAATTCTTTATTTGATTTGATTCAATGTATTTTGTAAGGATTCCCTTTATTCTGACTGCATGTAAAGAGCAAAGAGGCGGTTTTCGAACAAAGCCATCCAGCACAAGAGATGCTTATAATGTACTGAGAAAAATACAAAAAAAGGCCAGAAACAAAAAAAGTTTTGGTTTGGGAGATAAATCACAAAACTGCAGAAATTCAGCTCGATAATAAAAAAAAAAAATCAACCCAGGTGCACTTTTGTCAATCAAAAGTCCATTGTTACTTACAGAGCCATTAGTTGATCAGGGGTTATTAGAAAATAAGAAAATAAGTAAAGATCTCTCAGAATAAGATACAGTTCTAGAATACATTAATAATATATACAGGTGCTGAAAACTATCAGATTAAGGGTAGCATACATTATTCATGAGTTTGAAAAGAAAGTAAGGAATAAGTTATATTTTATCGGGTTATGGCAGCAACATGACTTGCTTTTCAGTAGATCAAAGATAATCTGCCATTAAGATAAATAGTGTACTCAGATTCCAGTATCAAAAACAATTGTTCAGAAACTAGAGCATCTTGATGAAAATACAGCAAACATTATCTAGATTAATTATTGCATTGACAAGGATACCTGATCATATTAGAGAAAGTGATATGGCCAATAAGGTAGCTAAAAGAAGCTTCTAGACACATTTTATTTACGGTAACATTGACATCAAGGTCAGTCTGAAGTAAAAAGTTTTATAGAGGAGCAAATGAGGGAATAATAGCAAAAAAGTGGTTAGGAGAAAGAAAAGGCAGATGGTTTGATAGAATTCCATAAAGAAAGGGAGAAATGTGGAGTGTTGGAAGACACACAGGTTTTAAGTAGTATCCTTGCTCTTAATAGGAAAGTTATCTGACAGCATGTTAGGGTGTGATGAAACCAAACTGGAACTTCCACAGTCCACATGAAAATAATAAAACAGCACTTTGCCCGTGGTACTAAAAGTATGTTATGCCTTCAGCGAGAAGTGTAGGCATAACAGTGGAAGCATCATGTTTTGGGTTTATTTTCATGCAACAGTGTTTTTTATCTATGGAGGAGAAATGTGGGAGTGATTCAAATAATTTCAGGGGAGGTGTTGGCCTTGTGGTTAGAGCAGCGCACTTTGAGGTTGCATATTTCATATATTGATTTATGCTATTTACTCGCTAAAATTTTTTTTACTCAGCCTGTTTTACCTGCAAGGCCACAAAATGTCTGAGTCAGGATTGTTTGCATAGAAGAAAATACTTATTCCCATAACAAGCCAGATTCTTTCTCAAGGTTTATTTATAACATGTTACTGTTTAAGCAAAGTGTCTGTAATTTGTTTTGACTCTGACTAGTTTCCATTATTATAGGTAAGGGGATCAGATCAGAATGCACAATGGCAGCCCACTGCTCTCCAAAGGTATGGGTTAAATGCAGAGGGGTACTTCACAATGTACACAATGAAGTTAAATTCTGTTCTATTTATCATTTTGTATCCCAAAATAACAACACTAAACCTGGGGAGTTAAGGAATGCTGATGAGGATTCTCAGTTATCCAGGTCATAGTCCTCCAAAAAAGTAAAAAAAAAACCAAACAATTAACCTAATGCTAATACTGACATTTTGAATTGAAAAAGCTTCCTGGATGGGAAGCGAAATGTCTTCAAACTTGGAAACCAAGTCCAGTGGATCGTTTTTTTTTTTTTTTTTACTTTCATGGAATGAGTTAAGTAATATAAACTAAATATTTCAACATAACAATGATTCCATGGTGAACACATCAAAAGAGGATGTGGTGTCCTCAAAATCGGTTAGAATTTAATTTAATTTTATTTTTATTTTTTGGGAAGTAGAATGGGGAAATATCGAGTTTCAGCGAATTGCTGAAAGATTCTTACCACAGAAGACTCCATGCTGAAATAGAACTGAAAGATGTTTTCTCAAGTATTACTTTAACATGTGCATATAAAACTATGTTTTTTCAAAAGTCTTATTTTTACCTATAATTTTTTTTATTATTATTTTTATTAAATTGTAAGAGATAAACATATAATTAAATGTCTTAAGTCTTAGAAATCAACCCTAACAGGCCATGTATGTACACTAGAAAATCATGTTAGATGCCTTCAACTTTTAAAAGAACAACAGCGCCTCCTCTGGTAATCAACAATATTGCAACAAGTGCTGCGGTTGCCATGGCACAGCGTCAAAGAGGCTTGCGCTGAAACTGATAAAGGTTACGCTCTGGTAGCTTGTTGATGCTATTTTAGAGAGGGTGGTTGGCGGAAAACATATAGCAAAACCCGGTGCTTAATATTTGTTTTCAATGAAAGCGGTGAGAACTTAGTATATCTTATTTGTAACGACGGATAAGTCAGCTAAAGCTCAAACTAGCTTGCTAGTACCCCAAGCTAACATTAGCCGTCAGAATTACGAAAAATCTGGTCAGTTATGAAGTTTCATCGAAGCAGAACAGTAGAGAGGTGTTTGATATGAACACGCGAACACGCAGGTGGGTACCATCAGCATTTCAGTGGTAAACGCTGACATCAGTGGTCGCCTACCTGTTGAATGTAGCTGTTTGTTTTGTGGCTGCTCTGCCACAACAAGCACTGTATGCTAATCTTCTGTCGTTAGGCTTAGTAATGTGTTGTTAAATGCATTTCATTTGATTTATTGTACCTTCAGACAGACGGCCTTTTCCCATATGGAGATGGCGCCAACAAATTGTTTAGTTACTGTTACTCTGTTTGGATTCTGACAACAATCCAACCGTAAATCACACGAACTACTATAATCTAATAACGCAGCACGCAATGAAATTCATTTAATTGCTTGTGTGAGGCAGATAATGTTGATCATGTTTTTTTTTTTTTTACAGAGCTGGAGATCCAGTTAGCTTGTTCTAGATGGCAGAGAAGAGGTGAAAACAGCAGAGACCACTGGGATATGACTTATGGGGTGAGTGTAAAAATCTCTGTTGTATGTTGACTGTAGAGGGTTTTACATCTGTTATATTGCATTACTTAACACTTTTTTTCAACAAGGAAAGATCTGATGAATAACATTACGTGCTTTCTGATGTAACTAGATTGTCTCTGATATTAATGGTGATATTGCTGTTTACCAGAGATGTCAAGTAACAAAGTACAAATACAGTTTTTAGGTATCTATTCTTTACTCCATTTCTTATTTTTCTTTCTACTTCTGACTTGTACTCATTACATTTTCACATAAGTATTTGTACTGTCTATCTATCCATTTTCTGACACTCCCAAGTGGGGGTCACGAGAGGTGCTGGTGCCTATCTCCAGGGGTCCACCCTGGACAGGTCGCCGGTCCATCGCAGGGTAACACAGAGACACATACACACACACACACTCACACCTAAGAAAAATTTAGAGCAGGCATCCCCAAAGTCGGTCCTCAAGGACAACTGTCCTGCAGGTTTTAGAGGTTTCCCTGCTTTAGCACAGCTGATTATAATGATTACAGTAGAAAAGCCTGTTAATCAGCTTTCAATTAAAATTAGCTATGCTGGAGTAAGGAAACCCCTAAAACCTGCAGGACAGCAAGTCTTGAGGACCGAGGTTGGGGATGCCTGATTTAGAGAACCTAACAGTCATGTTTTGGACTGTGGGAGGAAGCCGGAGTACCCGGAGAAAACCCACGCATGGTAAGGGAGAACATGCAAACTCCATGCAGAAAGACCCTGGGCTGGGAACCTGCAACCTTCTTGCTGCAAGGTGGCAGTGCTACCCACTGCACCACTTAGCAGCCCCTGTACTTTTTATTCCTCACATTTTTATTACAAATGTTACTTGTTACTCTTGCCTTCGGTTTAATGTTATAAATATTTATTTCACGTCATGTGCGCCATCCAATGCAGATCATTGGTGCCATCCACATCTAGTGAAAACTAGTTTAATTGGATGAGTCATATAATAATGTCGGACTCATAAAAAGGTGTCAAAATGTCTGAAAGGTCGGGCACAGGCGAGAGCATATCGGGAGATGGAGACGGAGACCAGCAGGACCTCCCGTATCCTTGGCCCTATCTCAAAGAATTTTTCGAAATAGTCGAAAAATTTAGCTTTAAAATTCATATAGTGGCGAAATATTACATGCTGAGCAAGTTTATATTTTGAGAACCAAACTTTTATAAGGCCTTTAAAATATTATTTAATTCATAAACATTTTCAAAGGATAGGCATCAAAAGTATTAATAGGCTTTCTCACTGGCACAAAATATTGACTCCTAGAGTTGGAATGTGTAATACTTGAAATATAAAACTCTAACATGTCTAGCATCTAAGCAAATACTAAAATGTTGCCCTCTGGAAAGAGGCTTCGCAGCATTCGACGCAGGTCCAGCAGATCCCACATCAGTTTCTTCCCCACCATCATCAGACTGCTGAACTGTTGAAAAAAACTCAAAATCATGTCACAAACTTTGCATCACAATGATAAGACAGAACCAAAAATACTGCATATTTGCACCATTTAAATTAATGCTCTGAACTTCCATATCATTGTTTCTTGCACCATGTTTTTTTTCACCCACACTGTTTACATTTGATCTCTGCTGCACTTTAAGTTCATTTACTGTCTGAAAAGCTGTACTAAACGACATTTCGTTTTGTATACACTCTGTTTATACAAAATGACAAAGTTATCTAAGTCAAACCTTTGTTGTTTTTTTGTATCACAAAAGTATATGATTTAGCATCTCATAATGTGTGCTTTTCAAGTAACAAAAACCAGTACTGCTCCCAACCTAAAAAAAATACATTAAAGCATCTAAATCTCTTAGTTGTTTTCTATAGATTGTCTTTTTTATAGCCTAATTTGAACAACTTTAAAACACACAATTATGTACAAATTTTTCCATTAAGGTTTTATATATTTTAATGTGTATTTGTTTTTCCTGTTTAATTATTTCTGCATATCTTTTTTTCTACTCTGATTTAGATCAGTTTTTGTTTACTTTGCTGCTGTCACTCAGGTTATTTCACCTCTTAAGGACCAATATAGTATTATTTTAATTGTTAGTCTTGATGTAGTTGGCACAATTCTGCATCAATGGAATATTGATTTAAGATATCAATAAAATAATGTAGTCTAATCTCCTTCTTTGTATCTATGGTAAGTCACTCCTTATTTTTTTACATGCAATTATTGACAGATTTAATGTTTAGCTTTGATTGCTCACTGATGCAGATCGGGGACTAGTGTTGTCTAAGGTAAGGCCTAATGTGGTCTCATGGAAACTCCAATCACATGGGCAGAGTTGCTCGGTGACCAAGATGCATAATGCTGAAAGCACCAGGGAAACCAGTTCTGTCTGCATGTTATGGTCTTGGAAGGAAACTAAATGGGAAGATTCTTTATTAGTTATTGCAAAATAATCATTGAAGTCCCTATACTGGTGTAATTTTTAATTAAGAACGAAAGCTTCTGCTTACTTTGTTAATGCTGTAATTTTACTGCTTCTAACCACACCTTGGTTCTCTCGCTTCAGCTTTAACACACCTTATCAAATAGACAACATGGAAGAATCGGAAAAGGCTCCTGAAGTCACTGAGGACAACCGGATTCTAAGTTGCCAGTCCCGTCGAAGCACAAAGAAAGAGTCTCGAGCATCATCGATGCAGACGCACAGAAAAAACTGTCGGGAGAAAAATTCCAGTAACAAAGAGATGGATGGCAGAGCTGAAACCAGATCCGATCCAGATCGAGACCGGATTTCAGATGCAGAGGGAAGGAGAAGCGAAGGCTCATTATATTCCGAGGACTACGAGAATGCCACACAGTCGGAACGCTCACTTTCTCCTTTTTCCCGGTCTCTCACTCCATCTCCAACACCACAGAGAGGCTTTCGGGCAAAGCAGATTTCCAGAAGTCCCCTCCACAAAACACGTATGGGAAATCTGAAAGAAATTCTTGTCACTCTTAATATTATCAGAGTATTATGCAAAAGTATTCATACCCCCAGAGCATTTATTGTTATATAAATTCAACAAAGGCGGTGACTTTTTCTATCACATAATAATAAAATAAGATAGATTAAGTTTTTGGTTAAAAACTGGCATTAAGGAATTAAGTATATTAGCAAGACTCAGTAAATGAAAGAAAAAATGTTGTCCAGATGATGGCAGCAAATCCCCAATTTTAACACCTCAGTATTGAGTTGAAATGAAGTTTATTATAAGTTGTTCAGTAGTAAAATAATGGTTTTATATACCATATTACAAGTTTAAAAGAAACCCTGATAATTAACAGGCTTTTAAAGTTGACCATCTTTATTTTTTAGGTGGGGTTGGACGCTGGAGTGCAAATCGGCTCCAGCGACCTGGGGGCCTTAATGTCACACAGCAGCACCGAAAGGGAAATCGGTCACTAAGCAAGGAGTCAACACCGCATAAAGACTTGGATCTGGTGACCAAGAGAATGCTGTCAGCCCGTTTACTGAAGATCAATGAATTGCGCAACTCCCTTGCTGAACTACAGCAGCAAAATGATGAACTGAAGAAGGAAAATAGAGTTCTCAGACAGGTAAATCTAAACCAGGTTCCTATTAAAGGGGTTTTGTCCTGATTAAATCCTTTCATTCAAAAATAAGGCAGCTCCTTACAGTGTCAATCAATACTAATAATAATAATATCATTTCATATGAAGGTTCCTCTCTAAATATTCTTTCTCTAACTAAAGCTTCAGGTGCGTCAGGAGAAAGCCCTGCAACGCTACGACGACACAGAAAGTGAGATTTCCCAGCTCCTGGCGCGCCACTCCAATGAGATGCAAGTGCTGCGTGAAAGACTGCGGCGCACACAAGAGCGGGAACGGAAAGCTGAGCGGAGGTTAAAGGAGACTGAGGAGCAGTTGCAAAGGAATCAAGCTGCTATGACTCGGCTGAAGAAGCTAGTAGATCAGCAAGAATTAGGGACCAGAGATGAGCTAAGCCGTAGTCTTGAAGAAGAGAAAACTCGGGCTCAAGAGGCACAACGTAGGGTTAAGGTAAATTCATCAAGGAGGGAGATTTTTTAAGTTTTATTAATAATGAAGTATTGTAACTTTTTTACAGTTTCACACACACTACACAAACCCCTTGACCTTTTCCACATGTTCTTACAAGAGAGGAAACCTAAATATATTTCATAGAGAATCTGTTTTTCAGATTTAAAGTGGAAAAAAAAATATAAAATGAAAGACAACAGATTTTTTTTTTTTGTTTTTTTCCCCTCATGTTTTCCAATACTGTTGCTGTTGCTAATATCAAACAGCCCTGGATGTACAACATTGTGTTTAACAGTGCATGGCTTGTTGCAAACCCAAAACATTGCCTCTTCTTACGGCCTTCTTTATTACGACTTTGCTCTTGCCATTCTTATTAGACCCAATTGGTTCTCTTCAATTCAATAAAGTTTATTTCTATAGCGCCAATTCACAACACATGTCATCTCAAGGCACTTTACAGTTCACAAGATCATACAGTCATATTGATTCAAAGTTTTCTATCCAAGGAAAACCAGTTGATTGCATCGACTCATTGACTCAAATGCAATCCCTCACACTAAGCATGCTTGTAGCGACAGTGGAGAGGAAAGACTCCCTTTTAACAGGTAGAAACCTCCAGCAGAACCAGGCTCAGTGTGAGCGGCCATCTGCTGAGGCCGGCTGGGGTTCAAGGAGACAGAAGATGAGATACAAACAGAAACTGTAAAAGGCAGGAAACAGCTTCATCCAGGAAACAAACAGCCAGGCAGATGAGCTCTGAGCCAACTCCCATGTCAGAGCAATGCAGGACTAGTAGCTGTCCTATGAACAGATTCTTCCACCTGAGCTACGAATCTCCACTGCTCCTCCAAAGTTAACATAAACATCCAGAGTCCTTCTTTGCTTTATTCTCTCTTGGTTTTATATGGCTTTCAGAGTTTAGGAGGGTCAATACAAATGCATGCCCCAATTCTCATGGGTCCTTTCCTTTCCACTCCCAGGAGAACCAAAACATTTTGACTGTAAAGCCACAGAACTTAAATAGGGTTATAATGCATAAATACTGCAACTGCTGTATTTTCCTATTGAATCATTGTTAATGTCGCCTTAAATCCTTTGGTGAGGTGGTTGTATAAAGGTGTGTGTGTGTTTATGTGTATTTGAAGGACTTGGAGCGTAGCATTGAGCTGAGCAACAACAGTTTTCAGAGACAGCTTGCTGCTGAGAAGAAGAAGACTATCAGTTCTCAGGAGGAGGTTAAGAGTCTGTTGGAGGAGCTGGACCGACTGACCAAAAAACTCAAGGTACAAAATTCAAATAAGCCCCTAAGCTGCCCTGAAGACTGTGAGCAAAGATTTGTTGCTTTTTGTAAAGTAGGATATTTCTTTCATCCCTTTGAACAGGAAAAGGAAAGGGAGCTAGATGCTAAGAATATTTACTCCAACCGTATGGTAAAACCAACATCTCAGAAAGACACTGACATCAGTGCAAAGCGGAAACGTAAGTCATTCTACGAGAGAGAGACAAACAGGGATGCTTTATAATGGATTTTCTTTTCAATACATCCGTTATTACATTTTATTTTTTGTTACAGTCCTTAGCAGGAACAGCACCAAGGCCGTACAAACTGAGGACACGATGTCAAGTCCAGATTTCCCCTCACCTCCCCCCGCCATTAATGAGTGCATCGGGCAGGCAGCTGACGAGTACCTGTCTCTTAAGGTGCCTGGTTACTGTCGGGTTAACTCTATGAGCGCGGCTGCTTGGTTGAATTCATGCCTCACTTTTTGTTTCTGAAATGATTTCATCCAGGAGCTCGACAGAGCAGACGGAACAGCAGAGGCCGATAAGGAGGCTCATAAAAGGGATCAACAGAAGAAGAGAGAAAGACATAAAGAACATTTGGTGAATGAGACAGAGCAAGACACACAGCAGCGAGAAGGACTTGACTCTGGGCTGGGGGCGCTTGAAGAGAAGCCAAACACATTAAAAAATGGTAAGAAGAAACTCTTCATTGCTCTTGTCTTTACATATTCTATATGAAATACTCAGTCATGACTTTCATTTTAATCTGACACCATACATCTGCAGAAATAGAGAAAAGAAAGAATGAGGAGAAGGGAGAAATAAGGAAGTCAGATTCCCTGTTCAGCCAGAACGAAGACGACATTTACTGGAAGCATGGCCGCGTTCAGGAGACGGTGGCCCGATTGAACAAGGAATCCACGCCCAGCCAGGAAGCGGCAGAAGAAGCCCGGCGAAAAAAAGAGCAGCTGCTAGCTAGGATGCGAGAAATAGATCGTCAAAACCAGGGAGCCCAGGACTCCGTGTTTTTTGAGTCATTTCTTTCCGATTCAAAAAAGGTTGTAAATAACCTCCCCACTCCACATCCACCTGAGGAGAGAAACCATAACTCTTCCGGGGTTCTGGGAAGGAGAGTGTTGCGGTCCCAAACCTCCAGTGATGACTTGGCATTCGGAAGATACGCACCTTCCTTTGGACATTCAACATCCCGGATTCCATCTGGCTTCTCAACAGCACCACCTAAAGAAACCAATAAACCTACACTAGAAGCCATAGGGATTTTTAATCTTGGAGGGGTGGTAACAGAGAAGGAGACAGAAAAGAGAGAAGAGAAAGACAAAAAGGCAAGTCTTATGCAGCAGCTGTTCGGTGCTCAGGCCTCGCCGGCTGGTAGCAGTTTAGGTTCTAATAAAATGGAGGTACTCAATAGCCCTTCGGTAACAAACGGGGTTCGTTCAAGACGGGAAGGACTGCATCGCCTCAGCTCGGGTTCTTCCACACCTACAGCATCCTACATGATGGACAGCAACGCTCTACATGTAACTGACAGCAAACCTGCTGTCCGTGCAATCCCATCATATGATGATGACATAGAGGAACTGGCTTTATAAATAAATGTTGTGATAATAGTCAGTGAAAGCATTCTGTAACTGTCAGGCAGGATATAACTCTGTAAATGAGTGGAAGATTGTTATGTTTTTTCTGTAAATGGTGGACAAGGGATTTTTCTGGTTGAACAAGGCCAGAATCGATCTGTCAGCTTGAACTGAGTTTATTTTCTGACTTTGTGTCAGAGTAGGCAATTAATAGTGAAGTATAATAACAAATTACTTATTCAGTTCATTCTATTCTGCACATTCTCTGACTTTATTTTTCAAGACATTTATTTATCTTGGCAACCAGATAAATCTGTTGTGTACCACTCCCACTGGTGGACCTGATTGAAGAATCAAAGGAAAACCTCAACTTGTGCTTTAACTTTTATTAATGGATTTATTAGACAATCAGTTTGTTCAGAGTGCACATTATCTGTAAATATTTTGGTATGGGTGTTATATACCCATCTGTAGCAAAAATATGTTGAGAAAGTTGATGGCTTATGGCCTTTTCTCCTGCACTAATTCTAAAGCCCAGCACTGACGGTGAGCATTAAACTTCACATGTTTTAGTTATTCATTTGATTTCCTATCAGCTTGTTAGTTCACCTACTATTGTCTCATGCACCCAAAGCATGTCAGATGTTAATTAACCTGTTGGCTAAATGTTACATTTTCACCCTCTGCTCATGTTAAATGTGCAATCCTTTCGGTTGACATATTTCAAAATAAAATTGAAATGTATACATTTGCGCACAAATTTAAACATTTAAAACTGTTTTTGGATTTTTATTTAATTTATATGCATCTTCAAGTATTTATATATGGCAATTGTTTTGTGAAATTATTTATTCTTGTAGATTTTATTATATATTAAAAATCCTAAACAAGTGCATGATTGGTATTTTTTATTTTACTTTAAAATGCTATTGTAGTTCTTTTTTTTGTTAATCACACTGTGGCGCTCTTGTAATGTCAACAAAGCGGGATGTCCGCTGCGTGTCTGGAGCGTCTCTAGGCAACCACGGCCTGACGCAACTAGCCCCGCCCCTCCTCCGGTAGCTCCCCCTTCAGCTTCAGCTGCACCCTGAGCTGCAGGGCGAACAGGTTGAAAGATGACTAGTTGAGAGCGGCTTTTCGCAGTTTTTAACAAGGTAACATCTGCACTTTTCGTAATATTGTTTCATCTCTAATTGTGCTGTCAAAAATAGGTTTTAAGAGCAACCTTTCTCCGTAAAAAGCAATTTCTGATTCAAATGTGTCTTACTATAAAAAAAAAAGCCTATACAAAACAATTGCATTTTCTAATTATTTTAATGCCGCACTTAAGAGTAAACCAACATTTAAACGATAACTGTTAATTTCAATGGTTTGTGTTGCAGTGTTATCTGTGTTTTCTGTTTGCATCAGCTGTTATAACATACCTCATTTTTTATTTTCAAATAATTAAAATGTAATATTTGTAGACTTACAGCAAATATTAAGACTGTGTTTTTTTTTTACCCAATGTCTTTTTATGGACATTGTAAAAGTACAAGCAATATTTAAAATATCTATCTCAACAAAAATATATATATATATTCTATGAACCACTTTCTGCACAATAAATGTAACAAAATACCTGTAACATGTGTGAATAAAGGTTGATAGTCTAATTAAGTGTCCTTCTTAAGAATGATATAAACACCGTATACTCTAATGAATACTGTCAGCACTGACCTTTCTAGAGCTTGCTTGACTTGAAATTTCTAAAAACTCTGCTCATGTTCGCATATGCTGTATAACCTGAAATCTGAAACCTCTCTAGGACATAATGACAGGCAGGTTGTTGAAAAGCATAACACTAAAGCCTGATTTGGTTCTGGCAGTGTTTGTTATGTAGACATGATTGTTATGTTCCAAATAAGGGAGACAGATTTTACAAGCTGCTTAATCCAGATTCCACAAAGTATGTTTAATGATATGGGGAGTGAAGTTTAAAACGGGAGGAAATCTGGTGGCTGGATTGGGCATATGGAACAACAGTTTTTCAGGGGTATTTTTTTCTGCGGATCTACAGATTTGATTTCTTTCTGGGCTGTTCAGTGTCGCATTGGGTAGCACTGCTGCCTCGCAGCTAGAAAATCTGGGTTCGATTCCCAGCTTGGCTCTTTCTGCTAGGAGTTTGCATGTTCTCCCTGAGTATGTGTGGGTTCTCTCCGGGTACTCCGGCTTGAGTTTGTGTGTGAATGGTTGTTTGTCCTGTTTGTTTCTGTGTTGTCCTGCGATAGACTGGTGACCTGTCCAGGGTGCCTCTCACCCGTAGACATCTTGAGATAGGCACCAGCACCCCTTGTGACCCCCCTTTGGATAAGCGTGATAGAAAATGGATGTATGTAAAATAAAACTTAAAATAGCAAATAGATATTCAAAATTCAATCAAGTATTTCAGGCAATTGGATTTCATTTCTTAAAAAAATCTCTTAACCATGTTTTCCAAATCTATCTTAAAGTGCTTTTGTTTTTGTATGTAGAAAGCAGTGAAATTTTTTATTTGCCATTTTGCATTCAACTCTTTTATCAGAACTTTCTGTTCAAAATTCAAATCAACTCATTGGTTAGCAGTTACAGCCATTACGTTTTTTTCTGGGGGGGTTGGCAGGGGGGACATGTCAGCTACACTTTTTTTAAACGTCCGTTTTGTTCCCCTGTATGTTTTACTGGCAAAAACAATGTTATGCTACAGTAAACAGACATTGGTCGAGCACTAGGAGTAAAGTTTTTATGTCATTTAGTTCATGCTGTCAAGATATATGTCTGCCTTAAAACTAAAAATTAAAATTTCTGTTTTGTTGCTTTTTAGCACCTAGCAGTAGTACTCTCTTGTGTTGATGCTTTAAGGGTATAGCTTACTCTATGAAAAAGAACTGGTAATTAATCTGACTTCTAATGTCTAGGGCTCTAAACTCGCATTGGTAGGCTGCCTTTTTTAATCTTCAAGTGTCACATTAAAATATTTTTAGTACAAAGATGATATTGTGTTTTAAGCGTCAATAGGATTCAACTAACTGCACTTGAACTTTCAAATCGAGATAAAATTTCATCTTGTACATTGAACCTTTCTGTTAAATTTGCCCCTAACCTTACTTATCTCTATTATATAGGATTCTGTGTAAGTGCTAATAGGTACATTTCAGTATAACACTTCTAGAACTAATATCTAAATGTATCATAACAGATAAACTTGATTTCATTGTGATTTGTTGAACTCTGTTATTCTGCAGCATTTTGTTGCCTAAATATGATATTTACTTCTTTCTCCGAAAGAGCAAACGAGAATACTTTATTCTGTACTTCTATATGTCTTTAGGGTTTATGATTTGGTGATGATGGTGAATTTGAAAAATTCCACCAACTTCAGAAGAATGAGTTTAAGAAAACCAGATTCATGTCTGGTTAACAACATATAAGACTTTCACTAAACATAAAAAAAAAGGTATTGTTGACTGTAACACCTGACAACTCTAAACAAAATTATATCTGTTGTGTTGTACTACATATTTGTATTTTTTTTATGATCTTGGCTGTAATGTGCTGTTGTGTTAGTGTGTTAGATTTTGTATAATTTAATCTCTTTGATAACCCTGTATCTTGTCCTCATAGTGTTGCACTTTAGCTTTTAACATCATGACCAGGACACTTCAGATGAGAGTTTTCTTTTTGGTTAGTTTGCTCAGCCTTTTTTTAACTAATGAATTATCATGGGTTTTATTAGACCATGTGGTGCCCTTTTAGTTTAAATAAATTAAATCTACACTATTCGAGCCATGGAACACACTTAAATTGTATTTCTAGACACTAGTTCTTAGCTGCAAATAAAAATTATTCATGTTTTGTTACGAAATTTTGGTAGTTTGGAAGTTGTTTGGCAATTAAAACATCTTAAATAAGGCAAAATGGTTTTATTTTGTGCTCCTGTGTTTTATACATAGTAATATAGGACATCCATGACAACAGCATGAGGCCACCAGCTATAGAGCCTACTTCTCAGTAACCTGATAAGACTGGTTGATGCAATAAACAACGAAGACAGAACGTAGAAAAAGATGATACATTTTAAGATGGTTGCTATGGAGACGTTTTGCTTCTGTGAAATAAAAATTGTGACAGCTGTTCCTTCACTGCGCTCTGCCTTAGTTTATTGCTGTTGTTAACTATGTGGTACATGTTAGGTTGATTATCTCCAGCTCTTTGCCAATGTTTTTTTAGAGTAAATGTTATCTATGTAATATAACAACTGCATAATTGTAAATGGGAGGGTTTTTAACAGTTATTCTTCTTTTTGCATTCAGCAGTCTGATGATGGATGCAGGATCATCTCCAGAGATCATGGTAAATACACCCTGTGCTCTGGAGGAAACAAACTGTGGGAACAGTGTGGACATTCCTGGGGATGACCATCTAATGACGTTAAAGGCTTTGACTGAAAAATTAAGACTGGAGACTAGGAGGCCTTCTTATTTGGAGTGGAAGGCCCGACTGGACGCAGAAAACTTTAAAGAGTCACCGACTGGAAAATACCGGCTTCAGAAGGAGCACGAAGGGGAACCAGTCACGTACATTGAGACTGCAGCTGACACAGAAAAAAGTCAGCAAAAGCAGGCCTCAGGTGGGCTGAAGGGGTTTAAAAGCATCGACGAAGCTCTCGCTTGGCTCAGGAGAGAGCTGGTGAGACCCGTCATCAGGCATTTTAGACATATTTGTTTTTGTTCTACGTTTCAAAAATGCTATTTTGCAACATTTAAGTTTCAACTAAACATCTTTTTGCTGCTCAGCCAATTAGTGTTTCACAAACCTCACGCTGTCCAATTAGTGACTAGAAGATACCCATTCATGCTAGACAGTGTGAGCGAATCCCACAATAGAGTTACACAGATTTTCTGCAAGTGTCACCATCTTCACTCTGCTCAATTACTCTGCACATTCAGCCATGGCTTATGAGCTTGGAACCAGCAAAAATAATAGTCTCTAATGGAGGTGGACTTGCACAGTATGAGACCATAAACATAATGCACATTATAAACCTCGGATGATTGCGATCTTTGTGCAAACATAGGGAATGGACAAAGAAAAGTAGTTTGTTTGTGGATATCCCACTGTGCATTTTCCTTTTTAAGTTCTGCTACACAATAAGGACCACACACTTAGGCCTGCGGTCATAGAGGCAATATAAACAATAAAAATGTGATGCTTTAGTCAGTAGTATAAATGTGCTTTAGAGGAAGGTTTGAACTCTTTAAAATGGTTTAATACATGGTTCTGTCCATACAAAAAAACAAAAAAAACAGCCTTCAGTCTTTTTAAGTTTCTGATTCCATTTTCACTTTTCTTCTTTTCCTTTGCAGACAGATATGCGCTCGCAGGACCAGCAGTTGGCTAGACAGCTGATTCGACTCCGGAGTGACATTAACATGCTGAAGATAGAGCAGACGTGTCACCTGCATCGCCGCATGCTCAACGACGCCACCCTCAGCCTTGAAGAAAAGGACGAGCTGTCCGACCTGCTGTGCGAGTGCCCTATCACCCCAGGACTTGGGCTCTCGGCCCCACTGAGACTCATGGGGGTCACTAAGATGAACATTAACTCTAGAAGGTTCTCGCTGTGCTAGCAGGAGCTTTTTGCAACAAAAAACTAAAAGTAATCATTGAAAATCTCTATGGGACCAAGCTTGTTTTGTGTAACAAGAAAATACGACAAAAGTTAAATAAAAATGTATAGTGTCAAAGTCCTTGCAAATGTGTTAAAGCACAGAGATGTACAGAAGCACCTATTTTTTTGCGTATTCAAATAGAAAAAAAAGTAATATG